CCAAAGCAAAGAGTCCGAAAAACCCATAGCAACTTCTCAAATTCTCCAGCCTAGGGGCTTGTGGCGGTGTAATCTATGCTGTCTGGAGATGATGGGAACTATAGCCCAACACATCTGGAGATATCACAGCCAGTGTCTAAAACCTCTGGGAGCCAGGCACACTGAGAAAATTTGGCTTCAGTCATCAGTCACTGATAATGTCAATATCCAATCCAGACATCCACTATTCCAACTTCTCAAATTCTCCAGCCTAGGGGCTTGTGGCGGTGTAATCTATGCTGTCTGGAGATGATGGGAACTATAGCCCAACACATCTGGAGATATCACAGCCAGTGTCTAAAACCTCTGGGAGCCAGGCACACTGAGAAAATTTGGCTTCAGTCATCAGTCACTGATAATGTCAATATCCAATCCAGACATCCACTATTCAAGGATGTGTAATCAGGTTTTTCTACCCAGCATCCCACTGCCAATGCTCTTTTATCCGCAGAAGTTAAGTCACTTATTTAGAAAAAGAGTTCTGAGAGTTAAGTCACTTATTTAGAAAAAGAGTTCCGAGAATGTTAAGGTTAAGGTTCCCCTTGACAATCTGTCCAGTCGTGTTCGACTCTGGGTGATCTGCACACAAACAAACAAAACAATACTTTTTGGAAGCCTCGACTCTGGGTGATCTGCACACAAACAAAACAATACTTTTTGGAAGCTAAGCATGCTTTTCCTCTTAACTTTACCTGGAACAAAAAGTTATAAGCAGAACACTGAAATGTAAGAGCATTTACCTAAACAAGATAAAATCACCATTACCTTGGATCAGATAAGGTTATGCACATTTTTAGGGCAGAACAAAACCTGCAAATGTCATTCGACTGATAACACCAATGGGATAAAACTTCAAACAAATGTGAATGTGCATTCCCTTATAAAATGCATTTCCAAATGCATCTTTCCTATACCACCTCCTGCTCTTAGAAATTATCATCTCCCTCTAGGACAAAGATATAAAAAGAATGTGTGTAACTCTTACCATCATCTCAGGCATGGTGGTCTCAGGTATGCAGTTTGTCCAGAAGTCTTTGTATACCAGCCTGTAGCAGTATCCTTTAGAAACACGACCAGCCCGACCTTTATACAACACAGGGAGTCTTAAGAATATATAATCCTTGAGCTGCTTTACCCTTAAACTGGCATATTTGCACTTCAAAATTTCATATCAATGACAAACGGCTAAACGGGAAGGTGTGCGCACGCACTTGGTCTATGCTTCTTGGTCTGTAGAACTGGGGTGTAACACTGAATCCACAGCTGCAACTTTAAAACAGCAACCATGGCTTCCTGCACCCCTTCTGATTTACATCTAAGAAAGATATGCCTGGGGAAATCCATCTTGCCAAGAACTTTTGGACTTTTAAGTTCTTCACATGCATACAAACCCAATGGTGTTTGAGCCACAAAAGCTTGCATACTGTATGATGAATTTTTTAGTTGTTCTGCTCACCATGACACATATTGTCACCCTCAGGGAGTTGTATTGTTCACTTCCACATCCCAAATGGAGAAGGAGGTTGGTATCGTGGTTCGAGCTTTGAATTACATATTTAGTGACCATTAAGTAATAACTTTTCTCAGCTTGGCCTACCTTACAAGGCTGCTGAGAGGATGAAGTGGGGAGGTGAAGAGCCATGCCTTGAACATACTGAGAGAGACTGACTGATGGGGTGTTGCTATTTTGGTATTTGGAACACCTGGGGCACCCACCTATTGCTTTCTTTGTACAACCCCTCTATAGAAGAATCAGTTCCTGGGCACGGAGGTACACCTCAGGTATCACAAATAGCTGCTATTGCAAAAAATAAGCTTTGCTGCCCATGACGAAGACATGTCAAGGGGGCTTCCTGGGTTGAGACCTCCATGAAAATTAAAACTATGTTCCATAAAAGCACCATACCTCTCCTCTGATTGCAGCTGTTTTTAGAAGCCCAGCATAACCTCAAGCTTTGGTAGTTGGTGTGTTCATCACAAACCAAAGTTCTGGTCAAACAGAAATCAATGACTATAGAGCAAAAAGAGCAGAGAAGAAAATTGTGAGTAATAAAAAAATGTTTCTGCAATGCAGCCCCCAATGTTTCTTGGTTCCATGTTGACATAACACATATACAGTAAGACCCGCATATCCACGGGGGATCGGTTCTGAACTAATGGGGATTATAGAGTTCGAATGTTCACAAACTTAAGCTTTTAAAGGAAAGTCCAGAGGGTTGAGAACTGTGACTGCATCTTGTGCACAAGGCATGCATCATGGCTTCAGCAAATGTTAGGTTTTGTTCCTTTTACTGTCTGGTATGTTTTTCTTATGTAGTTTTATTGTTTTCTTAGGATGTCCTGTTTGCCCTTTTCCTAAGAGAACTAGATAAAGATTATTATTTATATTTTGTCTCGGTGTCTCAAACCATTTTTCCAACACTAAAGGCTGTTAGGGCACCACAAGATTCTTTGTTGTTTTCTGTTGCTGCAAACAGGCTATCTACCGTCTCGTCCTGAAAATAAAACAGGGTCTTATATTAATTTCTGCTCAATAAATGCATTAGGGCTTATTTTCACGGGATGTTTTATTTTATAGTCATGTCATCTTCTGGTTGCTGCACAATGCTGCACAATGGTGGAGGGCAGGCTTTCACTTAACTAGGGCTTATTTTGGGGGTATGGCTTATATTACGAGCATCCTGAAAAATCATAAGGTAAAGGTTCCCCTTGACATTTAGTCCAGTCGTGTCTGACTCTAGGGGTAGGTGGTCATTCCTCTTGACATTTAGTCCAGTCTGACTCTAGGGGGCGGTGGTCATTCCTGTCTACGAGCTGTAGAGTCAGCGTTTGTCCATAGAGAGTTTCCATGGTCAAGTGGCCAGCACGACTAGACACGGAAACTTGTTATCTTCCCACCGTGGTGGTACCTATTTATCTACTCGCATTTACATGCTTTCGTACTGCTAGGTTGGCAGGAGGTGGGACAAGCGAGGGGAGCTCACTCCGTTGCGTGGATTCGATCTTAAGACTGCTGGTCTTCTGACCTTGCAGCACAGAGGCTTCTGTGATTTAACCCGCAGCGCCACCACATCCCAACCTGAAAAATCATACTAGGGCTTATTTTCAGGTTGGTCTTATTTTCGGGGAAACAGGATAACTGGGAGATCTCTTCGTTTAACCCACAGCGCCACCACATCCCAACCAGAAAAATTATACTAGGGCTTATTTTCAGGTTAGTCTTATTTTCAGGGAAACACGATAACTGGGAGAATTTTCTTTCTTTCTGGAGGGAAAGAAAATGGAGAACAAAGTTTGACTGCTACTCCCAAACCTTCCATAAACAATTTTTTTTTTGGGGGGGGGACGAATGAATGACACCTGAACAGTATTGAAATGGGAAAAGAGAAAGCCTCATCCATGTAGGGACAAAGGGAAAGGACAGAAGACTTCTAGGAACACATGAATACATAACTGATTAGCTCCAGCTTGTTTTGATTTGATCAGCCTTCCTAAAATCAGTGCCTTCCAGATGTGTCACACTACAACACCCAGTGGAAGGTGGTAAAAATACTCCAGCACATCTGGAAAACTCTAGGTATGGGAAGGCTGGATATGCTTGAAAGCACGTGTCCCGTAAGTAGAAAACAATTCTGTGCTTTTCAGTATTCTGTTCCAAAGTGCTACTAAATTTAAATGCACCGGTCCCAACAGGTTACATATTTTACAGTCCCTAGAGGTATTCTCTTGTCACATCTACAGCATCTCAACAAATGCACATCCGTTTAGATCGGTGGTTACAGTGTCAGAATACAGGCAGGGAAACCCAGGTTCAGAAACCTACTCAATGTTGAAGATTGTCACATAACCTTAGGCCATGACATGTTTTGAGACATCTTAAAGAATTAATCCATTTGTTATGTAAAGTACAAGAAGACTCTCGGCTGTTTTGCTGCAACCACCCACACAGCTGATCTTGTAAGTAATCAGAATTTTAAAACCAAATGAACTAAACAGTATGTGTAATCAGAATCTTCTGCATGGTATTTAAGGGGGGAGAATAACAATAACTTTTGATAACCATAACTGCATTTCCCAGAATCCTACAACTTGCATGATCAATGGTCACACTGACTGTGATTCTGGAAGCTGTACTCCAAAATATAAATTATTCGATCTCTGTGCCTTTTGAAAATAAAAGCTGCTAAAGTCAATGGCAGATTAATTAAACTGGAGCAGTCTTCTTCAAGATGAGTTTTTGGGGGACAGAAGTGAAGCTTCTGACTGCCAACTGAAAAGCCTGTCCCCCTTTACATCAAGCAGCTGCAAATGGATCGAGACAAGGGCATTCACGCAACCCTTCTTAGCTCACGGCTGCTCCCACCACGGGTCACGAGACTAACGCTTGGGGCTACTGCTAGCACAAAGGTCAAACAGATACAAAGAACCAGCAAAGCAAGCAGAACCAAGAAAGATCCCACGAGAGGGAATGCTGGGATGTGAAAATAAAGACACAAGTCTCTTCTGGCAGAGATACGGAGCTTCCTCTGCCCAGTAGCTGCTAACTCCAACCCCATCTTGCACTTGTGTCTCTTTACATAATTCTCTAGATGATTCATGCCCTGAAACACTCACACCTCCTAGCCTAAGACCAGGATTCATTTCTATCAACACTAGAGAGGATTAAGGACATGATCAAGAAGAGGTGGCTTGAAAACACAACCTTCTTCAGTATCTCAAAGAAGATGGCTCTAAAAAGCCACAATCCATCTGTTTAGAACTTTTTAAGCCACAACTTGGAAAAGTTGTATTTGGGGGTCACGACCACCAGAAACCTTCAGCTAGTGGCCATGCTGGTTTGGAGACTCTAGTCCAAAAATGGAGTTTTTCCAAGCTATGGTTCAAATCTATGGCTTTTGATCAACACTGCATGTACTGTGCACAATATACAGTGGAGTCTCGACTTACGATCGGCTCGACCTACGTACTTTTCGACCTAAGTACTTCTCCGGCCGCAAAGTTTCACTTCGACTTGTGGCCGGAAAATCGACCTACGGACCGGAAAGGGGGAGGCGGGGAAAGCGGCAAATTCAAATGTGGCGCTTTCCGCGCCTCCCCCTTTCAGTCCGTAGGCCGTGCCTCCGGATGCCTTCCAGGGCTTCTCCGCCGCCATGGGAGGCATCTCGGAGGTCCCCCTACCGCCGATAGTGCTTCGGAGCCACTATCGGCGGTGTGTGTGGGACATTCAAAAAGCCTTGGAAGGCATCCGGAGGTCCCCTGCTTCCACCGCTGCTGCTGGGAGCAGTGCCGCGCCGGGCGATTCCGGTCATGCTTGGACTCCTGGACCGTCCAGGAGTCCAAGCATGGCTGGGATTGCTCAGCGCGGCTCCCAGCGGCAGCAGCAGGGGGCAGACCTCCAGATGCCTTCCCGCGAAGCCCTGCTGCTGGAAGCCTTCGGAGCTCTCAAAGGGCTTTCCGCCCAACATCGGAGGAAGCCCTATGAGATCTCCGAAAGCAAAACGGCAGGGAGAAAGGGTGGGAAATTCGAATTTTCATTTTAAGAACTTCATGTTTTTAGCTCTGATCATAAGTCATGTATGGAAGCAGACTGCTTGGAAAAGATTCAAAAAGCCCAACCAGGTTTTGAGTAAAGCTTCGCCAGTGTGGCGAGATAGATGATACCGCTGTCTTGTCCTCCTTTATGCATCCCCTGCTTCCATCATATATCACTTCTGTCCTCTTTGGTATTTGCCAAACAAAAATAACTGCAAGCACTGCTTCTGATATTATGCAAATTGAATGAATCATAGCAAATTAAAATACTACACCTAATTTAATCTGAGTAGTTATTGCCAAAAGCCATAAATACATTCCTCTCCCCCCACTTTCACTTGCACAAAATATGAATTCCCTTGGGCAGAATTTGGTTTTTGGCAACAGAACACACTCTGCTTTAACTTTAGAATTGCCTTTGAAAAAGTTATAGAATGAGGGATGGAGAATCAGACCACAGCAATTCTGACTTCAGTTCTGAAATACAATTAAGGGAATCTACATTCTCTCCTAAGTCTGGAGCGGACAACATAGGGGCACTAACCCCAAGCCTGTTTTGTAGCTCCCTAAGCCTCTTTTTCTGACAAACCAGGTGAACTGCAGATCATGGAAGCTGTCAGCAGTACCAATCCACCTTTTTTCAAATAATAACCTTGGAACTGCAGAACTGGGAGGGATCCGATGGATCATCAAGTCCAGCCCATCAAAGAGGCACAGTGGGGAATCAAATTCCCAACCTCTGGCTCCAGAGACCTAAACCACTGAGCTATCCAGCAGCTCTAAGAGACTGACCCACCACGCATCATTTAATACCCCAGAAGACTAATTTTTCAAAAATGAAAAGGGACTTCTAGCCATTTCAGTTTTCTATTTTGCAGGGGGTAGCTCCATTTGGGGGAGGTCTGTGTAAACAAAAAAGGCTCTAGAGGAGAAAACTGGATGCTCGATAAAGTACCCAATACCACCTTAAAAGCAAAGGATACAAATGAGTTGAAGCAAGGCTAACTCAATAATAAAGCAAAAGCAAACAAGTATACTTATTTCTTTCCCTCTTGTTCACAAGCATCCCAACATGCTCACCATATTTGACGTCAGGAACTGTGACAGAACTCTCCGCTATATTTGTAGACAGGAGTATCTAAAAAAATTAAAATAACAACTATGATGATGATAGAATAGGAAAGGGAGGAAGGAAAATATTACAGTGGGTCCTATTTAAGAAATGCTCATAAAAACAAAGGCAATTGCAAATGTAAATGCAGTGGTGCCTCGCATAGGAAAGGGAGGAAGGAAAATATTACAGCGGGTCCTATTTAAGAAATGCTCATAAAAATAAAGGCAATTGCAAATGTAAATACAGTGGTGCCTCGCTTAGCGACGTTAATCCATTCCAGAAAAAACGTCACTAGGCTATTTCATCACTAAATGGTTTTAAAAAGCCAATAGAAACGCATTAAAACGCGTTTAATGCGTTCCTATGGGCTTAAAAACTTACCTTTCAGCAAAAATCCTCCATAGCGCTGCCATTTTCGCTGCCTCTTAAGCGAGGCAAAACAGTGGGCGGCCATTTTGTGTTTCTGGCGGCCATTTCGAAACCGCCGATAAGCTGTTAAAAAAGGGTTGCTTTACCATGATCGCTTCCCCGCTATTATCGCAAAGCGAATTTTCCCCATAGGGACCATCGCTAAGCGATCGCTTTTGCAATGGCAAAAAGTCCATCGCTAAGCGATTTCATCACTCAACGGAGCAATCGCTAAGCGAGGCACCACTGTACTTATATATTTGGCTATCAGTATACTGTTTCTTGGGACCACATTATCTCCCCAATGATCACAAACATGATAAACAGTAATATCAGTTGTAAACATCTGAGTACCATCCAGCATTTATAATGTGAAAATTATTGCACTTTTGCACTTGGAGGAAACTGGAGATAAAAATAACAACCTCTGTGAGGTGGGTGGAACTCTCTTCCTCATTTCTAACTCTGGTTCATAAATCCCAGTGCCCTGACTTCTTTCCAACTTCCTCGTAGTTGCTAAAGTATGGCACTGCCTCACCTTCGCGCCAGAAACAGGAATCACAGCACTAACTAAAAACTTACTTTTCGGTAACTGGGAACAGGAGCCAAAAACACATTGTTCTGGTCTTCCAGGGTGACACTGGAATGGAGTGGATATACTTGGAACCTAAGGAAATGCATTTGAGAAATATATGTGAACACAACCATAAAAGGGAGGAAGACAGACGGTCCCTCAAAACAGGATCTTCACAACAGTCTCATAATAGCATGTTTGTGAAGATATAACGCGGGCTTTTTTTGCTTCCTTCCCTAGCTACCTTCACAACCTTTTCCATCACACCGTTAATCTATCTCCTCAATATAGTATGGGCAACTGTTACTCTCCAGATTATTTTACAAAACATCTGGAGGGCCCACAGGTTTCCACTTTTGCACTAATAATAACCATGACTGTCTGGTTCCAACTGAACAAGAACAAAAAAAACCTCAAGATGCTTTTCTACTAAGGTAGAAGGGGCAGACTTAGGGTCCCTGAACACATTTCCATGAACTGTGGAATCCCAGACCCATTCTCCATTTCTGAGTCATCAGTTTAGGAAGTGTCCCCTCACCTCTGTAATGTGGGAAGAACAAAGAGATGTCAAAGAGGAAGGAGCAGAGAAAGAAACTTGGCCGCTATGGGGTGATCAGGATGGTTAGTGGCAAAGCCTTTCTGATTGATTGATTAGTTGGTTGGTTGGTTGGTTGAGTGATTGGACCCATTCTCCATTTCTGAGTCATCAGTTTAGGAAGTGTCCCCTCACCTCTGTAATGTGGGAAGAACAAAGAGATGTCAAAGAGGAAGGAGCAGAGAAAGAAACTTGGCCGCTATGGGGTGATCAGGATGGTTAGTGGCAAAGCCTTTCTGATTGATTGATTGATTAGTTGGTTGGTTGGTTGGGTTGGTTGGTTGGTTGACTGATTGATTGATTGGGATTATATCCTGCACCTTATGGCAACCAGGCCACTCTGGGCAGCTAACAACAAGATAAACAGTACAATACTGTCTGCAATGAGCGATGGGATAACTGAAATCTTGACAGAGATGAAGAAAGGTGGTAGGAGTAAAAACCTATAAATGGAATGGAATGGAATGGAATGGAATAGAATGGAATGGAATGGAATGGGAAGGAAGGAAGGAAGGAAGGAAGGAATTCCTTGTTTGAGCTATTATGGCAACCCCTGTCCTGAATGGCTTCAAACCATGCAATTTATTCTATTTATACAGAAAAGTCCAAAGTATTTGTAAACACTTAGGTTCCTGTAGGGAGCCTAGCACCATAAAGAGGCAGATTACAACTCACCTCCTATGAGTCATGGCTGTGAGAAGCTCATGCATGCGGTTTATTTCCAACAAACCTAGAGGGTGAAAAATAACTAGTAATAGCACACTACATGCATACACTGAGCTAAGAAAGCACAAAAAGGACAGTCCTGTGCAACTTTGTTCAACTATACACATCTCTTTCACAAAACAAAACAATAAAGAGTTTTGTGGCAGCTTGAAGAGTAAACCAGTTTTACTGTATTTGATAAAAGCTTTTACGGACTGCAACGTGCTTCTTTGGATGCTTAGAGTGTAGCCTCAGTAGACCCGAGATGCCACAAGGCCCTTTGCTTTTCCTGAAAAAGACTAACTATGGGCATCCCCTTGAAAATTTCACTGAATTCTCTAATCTGATATGTGTTCACACGCTGCTGCTCGTCATTTCATGCCGAGATCAAAACTCATGTTTTCACATCTCTATTATTATATTATCTTCTCTGCATTCCTGTGTCTTTAAGTTCTCCTGTAGATCATTTTAACTGTACACATTGAATCTCATTTAAGAGACTTGGATTGTGGATGATCAATACTATAATGGGCATGTTCCAGACATGGGAAACATCTGGAAGGCTTTGGACTAAAACTCCCAGAATTCCATCACCAGCATGGGCTGCTAGTAATGCTAACTCTGGGATTCTGGGAGCTATAATCCATAGGCAAATAGATCCAGCACGTTCTTCAGCATAGGGTGTCTGAGATCAATCGCTGCCAACCAAAAGTCAGGAGGCAGAGGGTTTAGCTGATCAGGCAAGGCTGAAGGTCAGTATTTGTATCAAATGTAGAACTTTCATACTGCTATGAAAGTAGAGTTCTAGTCAAATCTAGAACTGTTCTAGGCAAATCTAGAACTTTCATACTGCTGGAAAGATATTAACATACTTGTTATGTTCACATGAAGAGAACCCTGGGGCAGGCATACAGACAACTAACAGCAAACCATTAGGCTAGTCCTCAACCTCCATTCAGTTTTCCCAATTTAAATTTGGATTTCCTAAGGGGTGGGAGCCATAAAGAATATGGTTTGCATATATAAACAGTCTCAGGATTGGTTCTCAACATTCCCAACATTAAAACAACAAAGAAAAGAATCTGATAGCAAGCAACAGAAAATATTGTTGCCCAACGTCTTGGAAAGCTACTACCAGTCAAAGTAGACAAGGCAGGAGGGGGAAAACAGTTGTAGACATGGGAGATTCCTCTTCATCTCCCCCAGGAGATGAAGATGAATCTAGCCAGTACAGGGGCCAACCTAATTAATACCCAATCCATAGGTCCATTTCCATTCACTGCATGTTGGGCCAGCATACTCGACAGTGCACCAATCGCAACAGTAGCCAGGCTGGCACTGCCCTGCCTCCCTGCTTGGCTGGCCACTTAGCAGCTGAGTGGGGAAAAGTCAACATCCCACCCCTTCGCCGGAGTGGCCAGCTGAGCAGACAGGCGGGTCGTGTCCCGCCGGGCCATTGCCGCGATTGGCACACTGTGCCAGCGAGATTCATCTTCGTCTCCCAGTGGGTAAGAAGACAATTCTCCCACGTCTAATCACTGCACTATAGGATATGGCTGTCATGGAGGACAAATTTATTTCAGTTTGTTCCGAAGAATTTACAAATATTTAGACTTCTTTGTAGTCTGGATAGAAAGAGAGAGAGAGAGAGAGAGAGAGAGAGAGAGAGAGAGAGAGAGAGAAAGAAATGTACAGCAAAGTAAGTGACATTGACAGATTTTCATATCTTTATTTTCTATTTTCCTTACCTGGTAAAAACACCAGCACACTTCCACGCTCTGACACGAAGTGCAAATTATGGTTTCCTTTCCTGGTATTAGAAAAATTAGTTTTACATTAAAACAACTACAATCTTTTTTTTTTTTTTTGTTTTTTTTTTTGAAGGCCTAAGGAACAGATTTGTTTGCAACATTGACTACTGAACTTCCCCCACTTTACATTTAATATTACTCAGTTAACTGAACAGATATGTTTCCCAAGGGTTACCTAAAGCTACATTTTCTTCATTTGTACACATATTCATAAGGAAACCAAAAGCAAGACGTCCCCTACAGCCTTGTCATAAAGAGAAATATTAACATCCCCTATTTTATTTCAAATAACCTGGAGTCACATACGTATCAAGTTTTACAAACACAGCAGTCTCTCTCTTCCCACGCATCACCTTAAAAGCATCTCAGGGCCTGACCAGATGGGTATATACATAGATTGCTATTTGGATTGCTTGTGGTGTGGTTTGGTTTGAATCAAATTACAGCGCCCACACGTGATTTAAGAGTGCTCCACCCTGTCTCTTGTTAGAGCTGTCCCACTCCTTTCTGGCACAGCGCTACGGCTTCTGGGCCTGTTTGTTTTTTGTGTGTGCAATTTGACATGCTCCTATTGATCCCATTGTGCAGCCCACGTACAGTGGTGCCTCGCTTAACGAGCGCACCGTTTAATGACAAATCCACATAGTGACCCGTTTTTTGCGATTGCTACTGCAATCGCATTGCGATGTTTTAGATAGGGAAAACATCACATTGAGATGATCGGTAAGCGTTTTGCTTACAGATCTTCATATTGCGATGTTTGCCGAACAGCTGATCGGCGGTTCCAAAATGGCCACTGGGTGCAGAAAATGGCCCTGGCAAATCCTATTGAATAGCTTGTGAAGCAAAATGCACAAATTCATTCCATGATGAAGCTTACAAACTGCCTGCAAAGTCTAAAGTTTAATACTCTGCAGGGTTATATAAAGGATAAGTTAGAGTTAGTGGCTCTTCCACTCCGATGAACTCCTGACAATATTATGAACAAAAATACCATTTGTAGAATTTCATGTAACTAGCATGCTAGTTAACTAGCTTGGGGTATAGGGTGATACAAGCTGCCATCAGAGACAAGCTAGTAAATATGTATGCTATAATTTTAGCAAACATTTAATATGAGGCAAAGCACCACGCTACAAAATTATGACATTAACTCAGTCTGACAAAAGGTTTTCCCCAATTACAAGATTTACCTAGAGCCTTTCTAAATATAAACACTGCTAGGATCTATACACAGGAGTACAAAATAAATCAATGGGGGTGCAAAACAAGCCTTTTCACTCTGTAAGAATTATTAGGCCAACACGAATCGCTGTAGGTAGCCAACTTTACTTCTGGGATCTGAAAGCCAACAGATTTTTATTGTATTATGACACAAAACCTGCATTTGGTAGTGCTCAAGCCTATCTAGGTCATTCTGAATTTTGTTGCAGTCTTCCAGGATATGAGCTATTCCACCCAGTTTTATGTCATCTGCAAATCTGATTAGCATTTGGTAGTAAAAGTATCAGGCTTCTTCAAAGATTCCATTAAAAGTATTAATAATGCGAGAGAATCATAGAATCATTAACTTGGAAGGGCCTATAAGGCCATCAATTCCAACCCCCTGCTCAATGCAGGAATACAAATCAAAGGATACCTGCCAGGTGGTTGTCTAAATTTATTTTGAATAAATTTAGTTCCAGTGTTGGAGCACATCACCTCTTGAGGTAACTGGTTACACTGTCGTACTGCTCTAATAGTTAGGAAGTTTTTACTGATATTCAACTGAATATTTGGCTATCTTTAACTTGAGCCCATTTTTGTGTGTCCTGCACTCTGGGTTGATTGAGAACAGATCCTGCCCCTCCTCTGTATGACAACCTTTCAATTACAGTGGTGCCCCGTTTGACAACTACCCCGGTAGACGATGAAATTGCTTCACGATGAGGTTTTTGCGATTGCTATTGCAATCGCAAAACGATGCTTCAATGAGGGAAATCCGCTTCACAACGATCTTTTTTCTGCTTTGGGAACCGATTTTTTGCTTCACGACGATCAAAAACAGCCGATCGTAGGGTTTTCAAAATGGCCACCCGCTGATTTCCGGAAGACAGCGATCGAAAATGGCTTCCCCGATGGAGGATCTTCGCTTTACGATGAGGTATTTCCCACATTAGAGTGCATTGAACCAGTTTTCAATGCATTTCAATGGGTTTATTTCTTTCGCTTAACCACGATATCACTTAACAGCGATTTTAACAGATTAACGTCGTCAAGTGGGGCACCACTGTATTTGAAAAGTGCTGTCATATCATCTCTCAATCTTCTTTTCTCAAGGCTAAACATGCCCAGTTCATTCAGTCTTCCCTCACAGTGCTTGGTTTCCAGACCCCTGATTGTTGCCCTCCTCTGAACTTTTTCCAATTTGTTGCCAACTTTCTTGAAGTACAATGTCCAAAACTAGACACAGTACTCAAGATTAGGCCTAACCAGTGCCAAATAAAGGGGAACCAGGACCTTGTGGGATTTGGAGACCATACATCTACTAATACAGCCTAAAATAGCATTTGCCTTTTTTGTAGCCACATCACACTGTTGGCTCACATTGAGCTTGTGATGTACATTGATCCCAAGATCCTTCTCACTCACAGTACTGCTGGGCCAGCTATTCCTCATCTTGTAACTTTGTGTTTGGCTTCTTTTTTCGAGGTGGAGGACATTGCACTTCTCCCTGTTGAATTTCATTCTCTTGTTTTCAGCCCAGTGCTCAAGCCTATCTAGGTCATTCTGAATTTTGTTGCAGTCTTCCAGGATATGAGTTATTCCACCCAGTTTTATGTCATCTGCAAATCTGATTAGCATTCCCTGCACCCCCTGATCCAGGTCATTAATAAAAATATTGAAGAGCAAGGCCTGAGCCCTGGGGTACCTCACTTGTTACATCTTTACATAGCTATAAGCTTACAACTGAGATGTATTTCCTGACTTAAAAGCTTAAGTTCAGTTTTTAAGGATTTTAAATTATTTTAAGCCTATTATTTTGCATGTCTGTATGACTTTTGGAATTAAGCATATGTACCTACAGTTTTTTCTTCATAATTGTAAGACTATCTTTGATCATTTTTGAATTTGCTACTCCTAAGTATGGAACCTAAAAATGATGTAAGTAAATAGAAACTGTACAGGATTAACAAATTCTGGCCTGGAATTATTGCTACAATGAAGACACTTATAATGAAATACCCAGAAGATTTTGCAAGCAGTTTGTGACTGATTTTTTGGTTTCCTTCTGGTATTAACCCTTTACTGGGGTAATGTCAGCTATGACGAATCATAGAATCTATTCTCTTTACCTGGGAGGTATGTAACTTGATTGCACATGATTATTATTAATATTCTGCAACACATAGGACCACCATATGGGTCCAGCAAAAAGGAGCCCATCTGAAAACTTATACTGATTCAAATTATCAGGTTGACCTTTCTAACCAAAAAGAGGTAGCAATTTATCTTCATATATTTTATGAACAAAGCTGTTCATACAAGAGAATGTAATTTTAAATCAGGAGCAGCCATCATGATTAAAATTATTTTTGTACTAGGCTTTTAGGTTTCTGTGCTCAGTGAATGCCAAGCTAAAAAATGCTGCAGAGCAAGACCAATTAAACTGATTTAATCTGTTCTGCACTCTGAATTAACCTGTACATAAGAATTCAAAGCCAAATAAAAGATGAATAATTTTATTTCTTTTTCCCGGCTGTATTCGAGACCCAACCCTATTCAATGCTTTCTGTGCAATTCTTATTCAGCCACTTCCTATTAAAAGTTATTATTATTATTATTATTTCAGACATCAACCACAGACACAGAAACAACCTTACCCTAAAGCTAACAAACTTTTCATATGACATCGCTTGGAAAATCACTCAAATACAGCTGTCCTTGAGAATATTTTAAATACAGTAAGTTCTGTGGGTTGTTGTTTTTTTGCTGTAATGCCAAACTTATATTAATATAAGCAGAATAAAGGGTAACTCCACAAAAACAGGCAAGAATGATATAATACAATAAAACGGTAGGACATTTCTTGAAATGGCAATAGACAGAACTGAAAGAGTTGCAATTAAAAATGTATTTCCTGATTAGTTGTAATGCCGGTGTGGTGTAGCAGACTGAGTGACAGACAAAGACTTAAGTGACCTGGGTTGGAATCTCCACTCAGCCATGAAAAATCCACTGAGGAATTGGTAAACCCACTCCTTAAAAAATTCACTTACCTCACTATAATTCGGTTCCAGTGACAACACATAACAAACATAACAACCAGAATGTACAGCCTAATTTGGGGAGAACAGTCTCATACAAGTACACAAGGGGGAGGAAGACAGAAGACCTGTTGCATATGGGGTAAAAATAGGGGAAAACAGAAAAACACAACACGGTGCAAAATGTCAGACACATGCTAAGCACTGCCAAAACCCGCCAAATCTGGCAGTGCAGCCGTAACAGCTGCCCACATTTAAAGCTATTGCTTTTCTTGGTTTGGGGGAAAAGGGGATCTGTGTGTGTGTTTTATTTTGCTATTCTCTCCCTGTTTGGGGTGGAGGGTGATTTCCCTGTTTGACTGATTATTTTTTTAAAAAAACGCTGTATTAATTTATTTTGTATTTTATTCTGTTACATCTATATAAGTTGATGGGGGTTGAGACTCTTCTGTTTACTTCAGTGGGGATGTGGGATCCACGGGGGTGGACTCTGCAAAATGTCTCAGCATGCAGCTGCCTTTGTTAAGTGGAGGTTGTCTGGGCATACCTGGGACATTTCTCTTTTGTGGTTCTCAACAGGGTGTATTTGATTTAAATCACATATATTAAATCAGTAAGCATTTTATTTAAAACAATCCCATTTAAATTTTAAAAATTTTAAAAACCTGATTTAAAATTTTAAAAATCTGATTTAAATTTAAAAACCTGATTTTCTGATTTAAATCAACATTTAAAAATAAAATTTAATAAAAATCTATCTGATTTAATTCAAATCTACCTTGGTTCTTGGCACTGCGCTGTTGGTGGTGTCTTTGGTGAGTAGCTATCGGTGAGTCAGGGGATTGGTGCCTGGCTCTCTGCCTGCTGCTTTCCCTTTTTTTTCTGATGCTACTTAGGCCTAGAGAGTTTCTTTTGTGCCAAGTGGTGTCCTGCTTTTGGATTAGATTAATTCTCTGTTGCCTTGCTTTTTAAAGGGTTCTTTGGGGCTCCTGGAGTGCGAGAATACACAAACAGGAAACCCAAAAGAGCCTTTCCCTTTTGTGTAAAACAAAAGTACTGAATTTCAATGGCATGCAGTAGCAGCAAAAGAGTGGGTGGGGTGAAATTGGCCGCTGGGCCCAACAAAAATTGGCCGCTGGGCCCAACAAAAGGTGCCCAACAAAAGCTTTGTTCTTCAAAGATGCAGACGTTATGTGTATGATTGCATGCAGGTCAGCAGTAACTTACCCACTTTCTTCCATTTCCAGATTATCAAACCACTGGATCAGAGTGACTGCAGCTTTGTACATCTCTGGAAATATTGCTGGTTCCTCAAAAACCGATGCAGGAATCTAGGAGGAAGGAAAAATCCTTAAACATAGGATACTGTGCTCTAAGTCAAGTGTGCACCCTGCAATTTGTTTTGAAGCGAACAGCAGCAAAGCAGTCCATATAGCAAGCTATATGCCTATCTGGACATGGTCACAGTATCACTGACTGCTCCTATATAAGCTTTTGATCTGAGCTGGAACACTGCTGAAGTGCCAAACTTTTATCCACTTTTCTGAACCATGAAAATCAGTATGACCCTGGCTAATAATTATTCTTGGCAAGCAGCTCTAAAATTTGTGCATTTATCTGTGAAAAGCCTTGATAGACACGCCCTTTCTCCTCACATGCACTACGAAGAGTGTCAAGAAGAAAAAGATATAGGCTGGAATCGGTCCCTTGAGATCTATTTGAAAAGACAGTTATTTTGAACCTTCTAGACTTAACTATCTCACTGTTACAAATTTCTGATGGCTCCTGTATAGGCGATTAGTCCATCTATGTGTAAGCAGTAACAGACAAAATTAAAACACTAGAATACTTTATATAATCTAGATGGATTCAAAGAATGTTTTTATGCTACTCACAATTTGCAGTTTTAGCACAGAAGAATGTTATTGCTAATGCTCCACAACATACTGACACGGAAACCAGAGATCTTGGACTCAAACTGTATTTTCCTAATCTTTTTTTAATATGATAAGAGCAAAAATCACAGCATTGGCAGGACCACATCTAAAATGACAAGTCTCATAGTGGCTTCACATTATGTTACCACGTTTGTATGAACTTCATACACAAACCAAATGTCTGCCTTCTCCGTGGTAGAAATCTACTGGCCACCAGAGAGAAATAATCAACATCCACAGAGAATATTTATGACCCTTTTTTAAACACCTCCCTTCCTTTGGAGGGTTAGTTCTGCTATCATTCAAATTCCATCAAAATAAAAAGATTTTTTTTTTAGTAACAGAGCAAGTATACGCCGAGTTTTCGGCTCACGAGTTCTAATCACAGAGAAACTGCTTCTTCCAATATGAGGGCTACTATATGGTCAAGTACCATAGGATTTGAATTTTTTTAAACTTTCTGCATGACATACAGGGGTGATTAAAATTGATCCAGCCAATTTCCTGATAAACTAGCTTTTTTCCTCTGTTTCTAGAGTGTGACAACTTTTTCATGACGGGAGGATTTTTTCTCCCTGCAGAAAATTGTTGTAAAGGGGGGGATGACTGCAGTGCCAACATTCATTGCCCTCCACAAAGCTTCTCCTCCCTCAAGTCATTTGTTTTTTAAAAGTAGCTTCCCACCTGAGTGGGCATGATGTGTATGGGGGTGGATGGTGAGGAAGCATGCAAAAGCAAAGCACCATAACAAAATAATAACATGGAAATGGTACCTCATGGTCTCAGAATGCAGCACATCAAAAGTCTGAACAATAATTTTCAAAAACATACTACGATTCATAAATCAGAATAGTTCTCTTCAAGATCACCTCCTTCCCGCCACTTGTCATTTTCTGCTTTCCCTTACTTTCAAATCGCACATGCAGGAATTACTGCTCTCTGGTGACATAAACTAGAACTATATATCACCGGAGATCAGTAATTCTTGCATCCAAAAGTGTAAAAGCATTAAAGCAGTTCTTTCTTTCTTTCTAGCTCTTGAAATCCTTGGGGGAATAAAAAGGGTATCAAAAGGACCATATTGGAAACAACAGCCGAGCCCCTGCAGAAAAGGCATTCCACAGACTGGGAGCCACCACTACTAAGACCCTCCCTCATGTGGCCTCTTCACTTCCTTTGGCAAGGGCAAAAGGAACTAGTGTTTTGGATTATAATATTGAGATCCAGGTACAGAACTATAGGAGAGGCACTTTTTTATGAGGGCTGCAGATTATTCCTCTCCCAGAGGTATTTTTCCACTCTTACATGTAGGAGTCAGTTTGTGTTTCTCTGCTTCAGTAACTTTCAAAGCTTATCCTTCCTCCTTCCTGAAGTTGCCATGCCTTTTTTTCTCTCTCTCTCACTATCCCTGAACCTGACAGAGCTGCCACAGTCTTTTATCCGGGAGGGCCGCAATTTGACAAAGACAACAGTTCACAACAGGGCAGTCAGAAGTGAAACTTTCAAACCTCCCAAAGATAACTTTACCCGGTAACTAAAGTTTCTTCCGAAACTTATTTTAAAAAGCCACAAATTACCACTCGGCAAATCTTTAACCAACGTGACCTTTTAAGAGGCGTTTTTACTAACCCCCTATTCCAATGTATCTTCATCCTCCAGCAAAACATGTTATCAGAGAACAACGACATAGAACAGATGTTTTTAAAGGTAACCACTAGGACAGGCAGGCCACGTGGGCTCCGGCAGGGGGGCGATCCTAGCAGTTTTTAGCTCCAGAATATTCCGAGGCCCCTGCTCATGCGCAGACCTAACCCATTAGTGTGCATTCAGAGGCCACGAAGAAGAAACAGAAATTAAGGCAAACTAAAGAAAAAAGACTTTTAAAGTGCTTAGCTTCAGTTTCGCATGAAGTTGCTAACTAAATGAAACTAAAATTTACAACTTCTGCTTTAAATAAACTGGTCTTCTAGCCAGACAGAAAGTTACGCCTGTATTGGCCCCACAATCAACGAGGAGAGGAGGCCGAGAACCACAGCGTGTTGCAACATTACAACAAAGATCAAGCTCATTGCCTGAACTGCTGAGTTATCTACCCAATTATTATTATTACATCTTGGGTATCCGCAACAGGCCAGGATTACATTTCTCCCTTGAACTGCACGGATCTCAGCAGCACACTTTTGGTTTTACAGAGTCTCCCCAATAAACATTCAATAAATACGGTGCTGTTATTCATCTCCAGGAAGTGGCCTGATATAGATGGGTCTTCTTAGGCTTACCTGGGGTCTCACTGTTGGCAGTGCGGGTGGCCCCTGGTCTGAAGGTCACAGCCCGGACTACCTCCTCTCCTGCCATGGTGGCCAAGGAGGGCGGGTTCTGGGGCATGCCAGGAGGTTGGCATAGGTTGGGGGAGTATGTGTGCAATGTGTGTGAGATAGAAAGTTAATCAACTGCTTATACTTTGTAGTTACATTTTGGGGAGCATAGGAAGGATACATGGATTTAGTGTTATTGAAGGGAGAAGTGTGTTCCCATTTCAGAGATGGAGTGACCGAGGCTTAGACAACATAAGCTTTGCCAACCAACTTTCTGTAGCAAGTCCATGGCGACAGAGAAGTCGGAACAAGGCCAGGATCTGAGTGGGACTGGGAATTGCCCAAAGAGTTGACGCCAGTCAGTGTTGAGTATACAGGACTAGATGGGCCGACCATTTGACTCAAGTAAGAATCCAACTGCTATGCTAGTTCCTTCAACAGAAGATGTTTAAAGGGGAACACAATGCAAGATGGCCGGACGCACAACACAGAAGCCCAAAGCTGCTCTCAACTTTCAGTCTGATACAAAGAAGAAGGTGACGCATCAGGTTCAAGGGAATTCCTCTGGCACCAGTGACCCAAAGGGGAAGAGACAGCAATGTATAGCTGTTAGAGCATATATATTGCAGGTCTTGTAGCTATGTGTCTTAGTATAAAAGAAGGGGGGGGAATCAGCTTCCAAGTGATCAAACAAGAAAAGAAAATTCATATTGGCATATACGTTTCTCAGGAAAAGGGAGAAGTACTCTGAGCAGAAATGTTGCAAGCCCTAAAACAAATGGAAAAAGCTGCACATCTGTTTCTTTCACCTGCTTGTCCCTTACAAGACCCCCAAGAGCCCATGAGCCAAATGTTCTTTTGAATCGTAGTTTTGCTTCTCATTGTGTCAATGCCTTTTTTCTTTCTTTCTTTTTAGCTCCCACAGCTCAAGGAACAACCAAACAGGCTTATAATCCAAAGTAGAATGTTAAATGTTAAATTTCATGTCCCCAAAATTGAATTATTGTACTCAATTCACTTGAAATCTACAGTCTTCCTGCGCATAAGATCCCCTTCTCATATTTCACTAAATAATATAAGCCCCCCCCCCCCCAATAGGCATCTTTCAGTCTCAAGAGACTATGGTAACATGCTCTGAATCGAGGAGTGTCCTCTCCAGAGCATGAAGCCTGGGTAAAGTAATATGGAGGATAGGCTGTTACCCAAGCAGCAGATCCCCCCTCTCCACATTGCTGAAATGGTCCAATGGAAAGGCAAGAGCCAATACAACTGGTTCCAGCAACGTCGCAGGAGTTGGCAGAACGACACAAACTGCCTTCGGGACTCAAGCTCCAGATTTTGCCCCTAGGTTAACTCCTGAAGCCTTTTCCATGAGTGGATATAGCCACCAGGCAGTGGAGGTTTGAAATCGGAGTTTTCCTTCTCCTAGATGCGCTGCCTTCCATGGCTGATGAGCCCCACCTACCCAAAATAATATAAGCATTGATTAAATTAAAGAAAGTGTTTACATGCAACACAAAAAAGATAACGGTGATTGGAAAAGTTACTAAATCATTTCTTGATGGTACATTCAGATTCAAGATTATCTAAAGCAGTGATGGTGAACCTTTTTGGGCCTGAGTGTCCAAACTGAAAACAAACAAACAAACTTAGTGGGTGGCAGCAGAAGCTGAAGTGGCGGCGGAAGGGGGAATCCCAAGCATGGAGGTGCCTTGAGACCCCACTACAGATCAGCCACCAGCACCAGCTGCTCCGGATCCTGGCCCGCCGCCTGTTGAAGCGCCAGCACCGTGCCTGCAGCCTCCTCCTCAGGTTTGGCTGGGGGTGAGGGAAGCGATCCAGCGACTTATGGCTCGCATGTCCTCAGAGAGGGCTCTGCGTGCCTGCTGTGGGACACGTGCCATAGGTTCGCCAGCGCGGATCTAAAGTAATTACTCTACCGATGCCATTCAGTACAGAAAAATCTGATGAGGAGAGTGCAGCATTGTTAAGTACCATTTATTTTTAAAAATTACAATTTGGCCTCTCATTCATAATTTGAATCAATCTGGATTAGCTAGAGACGACGGTAACCTGAAATATTTCATTCAGTTCCTTACTGTAAATTATCTTCAAAGGACTGTGTCTAGGAGGCTCCGATCCATCTCAACTTTTTGTCACGCTCAGACAAATGTGATCACAATTCGCTCCACATGCAGTGCTTGACACCATGTGCGTTTTCTGAGGGCCCCATGCCTCTCCCAGTCCCAACCCCGGTAAGAGAAAAAAGGGGGGGACCAAAAAAAAACAAAAAGGTGAACTGTCACTTCTAGAAGCACTTCCAGCATCTGATCAGGATCTTTCAGATTTGTTGGTTGTTCTGCTTTGTTTTGGAATGAATCTCTGCAGCCCTGCTGAAGAAATGAAGGGGCTGGGATTTAGCCTTAAAACCACCAGGCTTTGCCTGCCTCTAGGAAAAGAATGATCAGGACAGAAATATTTAAAGCTCTCTAAAGGTTTTCTTGACCATCTACCTCTGCATCAGGGCCCTCACGGAACGACAAAACGACAAAAACTGTAATTAGCTTCAAGTCCCCAATTTGACTTCAAATCCATCCTCCTTCACAGAGCTGTTTCAATTTTTTTATTTCTTAGAAATACATGCCCTTTGCCTTCAAGTCAGAAAAACAAGGCATTGTCCCTTCTTTTGCCTCGGAAATCTCAAAGTGGTTGCTTTTTAAAAAAAAAATGCCCTGGAGTTGTCCTAAAGATACTAAACATGACTGCCTGTACCAATGAATTTGTTCCTCTCTGCTAAGCAAAGGGGCTAGAGACAGAAGAGAAGAGAAGAGAAGAGAAGAGAAGAGAAGAGAAGAGAAGAGAAGAGAAGAGAAG